TACCCCTAACTGGCCTTTCTTCATTCCCTAGTCCTAAGAATAGGAGTGGAGGTTCACAGCCAATTCTTGGAGGACCAAAGAGTGCCAAGCTCAACAGTGGCCAAGCCAGTGCCTGTGTGTACAGTGGGGCAGAAAGGACAAGGAGCACTCCTGGACTGTAGTGGGTAGGGAGGAGACTATGGACTGCGGACTCTGGGGAAGGGTTCAGAGGGGCTCCAGGCCCTCCCTCTGAGGACCAGGAGGAAGCTTTCTTTAGCTTGTCTCCATTGGATTACAGAACAGAGGCACGGAGGGTATCTTCCTCACGTTTGCCGTGTGAAATGGGCTGTCCTCTGCCCCTGCTATTAGATCATCAAGCAGCTGGCTTAGGGTCTCCTCCAGCTGTTGGAACTAGAGTTCCCCAAGAGCACTGCAACAGACAGAGGCTCTGTCTCTCCTCAGATGCCCCTGTCAAGATGCTAGGGAAGGTACTAACATCACCCTATCCTCTCTGCCAGATCTCCCACCCCAGGAGCCTCACTTCATGCAGGGGACCAATGGCTCATCCCTCTGTGTCTCTGTGTCATCACTGTGTCTCTGCTTGTATCCCTAAGGGATCTGCCTGCTTTGGAGACCTGCAACATGGCAAAATACGTCTGTGGAGCCACACCCTGGAGGATGACCCCCCTCCAGGGCCACTGTTGCTGCCATGCTATCTTCAAGATTAATGTCTGAAAGGAAGAGGGGGCTTTCCTGAGGCCACTGTGTTGGGGAGACACGGCTGAGGGCACTGATTGCTGAGTGCATCACTATTCAGACATAGGTGAGACGGCTCAGCAGATAACCGCTTCGTGCATAAGTTTGATGCAACCCGAGTTCCATCCTGGGAGCCTACTTGGAAGGAGAGAGAATTGTCCTCTGACCCCCACACAAGTAGATGTACACACACATACACACACACACACACACACACACACACCATCACTACCACCACCACATTCAAATGTCCAAATTATACACCCATGTCTGTAATTCCTAAGTGGAATGTAATTCCTAAGTACATGCTTATTTCTGTGTAGAAGATGGGTCAGCTGCCTTCCATGTAGGTGATGTCTCAACCAATCACATGACATTTATTTCTGTAGACTATGACAGACCCTTCAGGGCCTTTTCTCCCTCTTTGTTTCCCCCTCTCTCCTCCATTCTTTCATGTCTCTCCCACTCTTTTTGCTTTATAAGTTATATTATTATGGAAGTTTTCAAACCATAAAAAAAAAA